AGGTGCTGACGATTGGAAGGTTGTCGGCATCGAAGGGAGTCACATTCACAATCTCGCTTCTACTCAAAGGGATAAGTTAGTTAGTCAAGACTCGTATCCGTCGGGATCGAAACCATGCTCTGGACTCCTTCCTTGAACTCCTTCGCACCGTCTTCGCAGCGAAGCAAGGGGGGAAACTGGCATGTGGGACGATCCGGGATTTACCCACTCATCATCATGGTCTTTTTTGCGTGTCTTGTGATGTGATGTCGTGTGATGTGATGTGCAGGATTTGACTAGTAGTAGGTTGTGGGTTATGGGGAAGTTGCTGTCGCTTGACATTTGGAGTTGATGGGGAAGTTGCCTTTGTCTGGGTTGATAATGGGAAAGTTGCAGTTTTCTGGATATTACTACGAGTAAGAGGTCGACACTCTTTGTCGTTTTGCCTCGTTTCGTTCTTTAACTCGTGTATTTGGAGAGGAGAGGAGAGGAGAGGTGAGTAGAGTACATTTTGGATGCAGTTTGGTTGTATCGGATATTTGGGCACTGATGAGCCTGCTGCCCTTTCCAAGGAAAGATGAAAGAGCGAAAGAGAAGAGGGAGATCAAAGGCTTCTTGAGATTGAAGAGAGTGGGAGAGTGGGAGATGAGAAAAATAAAATGGTTCATGGGTAGGTATTCCCTCATCAATTTCAAATCTCCCGTTCACACTTGTTTCTCGACATGGGCGTCTTACTCCTTGGACTCTGAGTCTGACTCTAACTACTACCTTGACTTTTGATTGTCCTGTTAGTGAATGGGCATGTCTGGTTTGGGTTTGGTATTGTGTATTGTGTATACATGTATATATATATGTTTGTTAATCGGGGGGGTTGGGGGTTGGTTAGTACCACAAGTGGGAGTATAAGAGTGCCATGTATGAAAAGGGAGAAAGGTGGGAAAACACGGCATGGAGCAATAAAGGCATCATAAAAAACAAGCAACCAGCGAGTTGGGAAAAGAGGATTCTCCGTTTCATTCACTGGGATGATCTGGATTGCCATGATAAAGCAAGGTGTTTAGTATTTGGGGACAAGATCAAAAGGGGTGGGGTATCACTAGCACTACAACGACAAAGGGAAGATCGCGGTTGACGAAGGCACGGGGGACTGCACAACCTCCACTGCGTTTTCCTCTTTCTTTCAACAAAAGGGATAGACAGACTCAAACGTTCGGGGCTGCGGACATGTCTGTTGTCATCACAACGCCTTTGGTGTAGTGGGACTCGCAAGCCCCGTCTGGCTCTTGCGCCGGCTCTTGTCCTTCTTCCTGGCGGGGGCGGGGGCGACGCTGCCCTTGCGGCTGTGGGCTTCGGTGGCGGCGGGTGTGCCTATGACGGCGGGTGTGGGTGCCGTTGACGGGGGCGCGATACTGGGTGGGCGGGTATCTGGTCTTGCAGTCGCAGTGGTAGCAGCAGTGGTAGCAGCGGGCGCTGCGGTGTGAGAAGCCTGGGCAGCTTGTTCCTGGGCCTTGTTGCGTGCGTCGACGGCCGTCTTTGTGTTTTCAAAGACAAACGCGCCTGGTTCGCCCTTGAGTGGGTTTTCGTCCATGAACTCGTCCCCGTATTTGTCTGTGAGGTGCAGCGATTGCATGAAGAGGGCGTCTGAGAATTCGACGGTCGAGGCTACGGGGTCCGCGGCGGGTGGCACGCTGGTGGGTGCGGTCTGGGACAAGGCTGCGTCTGGGTCTGTGGGCGCGAGGCTCGGACTGCCAATCCGACTGGTTGGGGCGGCGGTTTGACTTGGCAGCTTTGGTGGAAGGGCGGTTAGTAGGAGTAGCCTGTGGCTGGGGTCCAGTGTGTCATGTTGCTTGCCAGATCGGCCATTTGCTGCATGCGCGTCGAGATGGTGAGCATGCGACTCTGCATCACATCCAGCAGGCTCGGCGCCATGAGCATGCGCGTCCCCTGTGTGTACCAGTTGCCCTCTACATGGGTTTCCACACGGCCCGTCTCGTGGTTGTGTCGTTTGTTTTGGCGCTGCAGCACCCACGGCTGGCCCTCGCCCTGCGGTTCCGCCGTGACGATGAATTGTGTGCCTGCTTCCACAGCGCGTAGTCGTTCCTCCCAGAGGGCCCGGTCATTCATGATTTGCTGGCCATCGGGGGACAGCTGCACGTTTTGGAATACAGAGATGTTGATGGATTGCGGCTCGAACCATGGCGACGAGGTAAAGTACCAGAAGAGGTTGTTGCCGACATTGAGATTCTGCCCTGGCAGGCCAGCAATGAGGGCTGGCTGGTCGAATTCTTGCTCGTCGAGGGGTGGAATCTGGGGGGCCATGTTTCGTTCTATGAGTATGTGGGAGTGTGTTGTTGGTGCATGTGGGTGGTTCAACAGCAGCTAGATGGTTGGAGCTAAGAGGGACCTCCGTCGTTGCCCGCAATAACGTCAACTTGGTTAAGTGACCTAGCTCAGCTACTTGATCCTCACCCACCCATTCACTCACGCATACCACCCAACACACTACCAACAACATGGATCTTGTACAAACCGTGCGCAAAGAAGGTAGCCGGTATGTCTCTCCTCGCTCCTGTCTGCTTCCATTTTACACTACTAACACACTTTGCTTAGCGGCGGCCGCGGCGACTTCAAGTGGGAAGACGTCAAGAACGATGCGCATCGCGAAAACTACCTGGGCCATTCACTCATGGCCCCCGTCGGCCGTTGGCAACAAGGACGCGACCTAAGCTGGTATGCAAAAGGGGACGACGATTCAAAAGCAGCCGAAGCTGCACGCATCGCCGAGGAGAAGCGCAAGATCAAGCAGGCCGAAGAAGACGCTATGCTGGTGGCCATGGGTCTGCCAGTCCCCGTCCGCGATAACGCGAACCTGACACCACTGGGGACCAAAGTGCACGAGGCTGACGTCCAAGACACACTCGAGACCAAGGCCAAGCAGACAGACGACGACGAGCATCGCGCACCTAGGGACGGCAACAAGAAGGAGCGCTCACGCAGGCACAGGGATGAACATGGCGAGAGGAAAAGGAGGCATCGGTCGAGATCTTCTTCACACGATCGTGAACGCCGTCATAGACACCGACAACGTTCAAGGTCACGCGATAGACCCAGACAGGACAGAGGCGACCGCCATAGACACCGTTCAAGGAGCCGAGAGCACAGACGGCATGACGAGCGTTCAGAGCGACCACGGGATCGAGGATTTGATCGCAAGCACTCAGCTTCACCTTCGAGAGAGCACAGACGTCGGCGAGACACACGGAGCAGATCGCCCTATGCGAACGACAGGAGACGGGATTGAAAGTCTTTCTGGCTACTTCACACATTCACAGAGTCTGAGTTCGGTGGCCTTTATCATTTCGTGCTTCTAAGCCCCCGATGACGCAAAATCCTCACTCCGTGGCACACTGACTCCTTCTCAGCGCCTTGGACCATGCGTTGATAAATCGCAACACCAACAGCTCTATGCACCTTCTTTCAACATCTTCTCAATCATCTTCATAACCTCTAGCAGCTCTTCGTCCATCGTTGGCCTACCTACTATCTGCACGTGAGCTGGCATCCCTTCCACAGCATCTGGATTGTCTATTGATAATGTCAGCGGAACCTTATCCTGAACATTAACTGGCTAACCTTACACGGAGGTTCATATTTAGCATCCATACGGAGAAACGGCGCATCAAGCTCCTTGTTTGCCACCCCAACTAGCAGGATTCCGGCAGGGTACTATGCACGTTAGCAATCATGTCGTATCAGGCTTCGAATATACCATACATCTAATAAGTTGTGCACGACTGTGTAGAAAGGAATCCCATACGTGTCGTGCGGCATCGAAGTCGCCTGGTACCCACAGCTCAATACAGCATCCAGCTTCTCGTTCACGATTGCTTCCCGTCAAGCTCGAGATATTGTTGCTCGCTCCACGTTCATGTCAAACAGTTTATCTAGAGTAGCCTCCCAGCCTTCTAGTTGAGAGAACCCGGTTATAGCCAGGGATGGGATAGGCGGCTCCCCAGACGCTTTGATGTTCTTCATGGCTGTCTTTTGTGTGTCTAGCATGAAGTACTTCCAGGATAGAACCGCCGTGTCGTAAAGATTGGGAACTTTGTCATCGAGCAAGACAAGTTCATGGCCGTGGTTCTTGAGCATTGTCGCAACGCTATGCAGCGCTCTTGCAATCGGTGGACGGAGCGGTCTTTGAGAAAACCCTCGTAGCAAACCGAACCTTAGTTTCCGCGTCTCGGGTTGTACGGATCGCTAGGGAACATTGAGGGCAGTTCCGTCGACTTCCCAGGGCTTGCCTCGCACACCGTTCTCATGAACAACTCATAGTCGCGTATACTGTGCCCACACGGTCCTATAACCGGCGCTATGGCCCCTGGACTTAACAATTTCCCTGGCATAACCTGGCCTGCAAACGGGAGTCTCGAAGCCGTTTGCTTGATACTACTCACACCACAGCACAAAGCCGGGATGCGCGTCGACCCAGCGATATCCGTCGCCACGCCCAACACACTTCCCCTCATAGCTACCAGCGCCGCCTCGCCGCCGGACGAACCACCAGCCGTGAACGACAGATTATGGGGATTCAGCGTCCGCCCAAAAATATGATTATGACTATCCGCTGTCATAATTGTTTGCGGTAGATTCGTCTTGACATAGAACACCGCCCCGGCATCACGTAGTATCTGCACGAGCGCGGAATCCGTCGTGCTGGCCGGCCGATCAATAAACGAAAGTAAACCCAATTGTACTATGTACGCCTACGAGGTTAAACGAGTCCTTGACAGAAATGGGCAGGCCGTGTAGATTTCCCTTCGGTCTCCCGTGCCGTGCCAGATACTCGTCGCATTCGCGTGCTGTAGCGAGTGCCTCGTCGAACATGATTTCGGTGAGGCAGCTCAGGCACTGCTGTGCAATGGCGGCGCGTTTGCGGAATGCGGTGACAACATCTACGCTGCTCAATTGGAGGGTGCACATGAGGCGCACCAGCTCAGTCGCGTCATAATTCTCGGTGATTTCTAGCTCGCGGGGTGTGAGGAGGCCGCTTTTTCGGGGGATGTCGAGGACGTTGCGGGTGGAGGCGTTTTGAGGCGGCTTTGATTTCCCAGTCTGCAGTGGTGGGGGTATGCCATGGTGGATGAGGGTCTCGATGGGTTCAATTGGCTGTGTAGCTCAAGGAGAGAGAGATATATAAGGGGGTTTTCTTGGGGAAAGGGAGATGCCACAGGTTGTTTAGTATTGGAGTAGATGAACAGCAGTCCAGTACTGTAGTAGATGGATCACGACATAGTATTGTAGTACCTACTTAGCACTTTTATATGCGAAAGAAAGCTGCGGTCTACTGATCAAGACGCTCTCCACAATCCGAGTGCGGAACGTACCGTACAGTCTGGGGGTAGTTATTGCAAGAAAGTCACATGATCATCCAACTTACCTAGCTATACCGAACTAAAGTATCGATGGATATGGTCCCCCCTCAGTCCCCTCTAACCACCTCAATCCCATCACCTGCCAGGTCCTGCCTCGTCCTGCCTCACCAAACACATGCCACAAGCGACCAATTATAGCGCAACATCAAGACCGCAAGGTGCGCTGGCGCTCCTGGCACTCGAATCCACCATTTTGCCCAGCCATGGGTACCGGTATGGCCGAGATCACTAGTTGGTATTGGGGGTGGGACGCCATAGGTATGCTACAGTACTTGTGATCCAGCGTGTAGCGAAACCTAGGCTCTATTTGAAATAAGCTCTATCTTGGTAATTTTGGTTCAATAATCCAATCGCCTCAATCACTCCTCAAGCTCAGTAATCAGACAACGGGAGCCAGTTGCTCGGGAGCATGCTTCAGTAGATTGGGTATGGGTCTGCGAGTGAGGGGGATAGACTATGGTGAGTGCTCTGGAAATCATTCCGCACAATGGGATTTTTGTTTGGTGCTTTGATGCTGTTGTTCAGTGGAATGTTGTTCAGACTACAGCGAGTCTAACTTGATGTTGAAGCGCCAATGGTAGGAGAGGTCCTTGACATTGGTCGGAACTAGACCCAGATCTGGCTTTTCAAGATGTTATAAATGCTTAGTTGATGATGAGACCGCTCTTTCCATTCACAACCTCACAGTTGGGCTGCCCATAAGAAGCTGCTTCTACTTCCGCTGCAGAGGGGGAGAGCCCGAAATAGGTGTCTTTGGACGCCCTTTGCCGTGTACGAATCACTATGTAGTTGCGCCTTCAACGCCAAAGATTCTACAGTACCTACCATGTCCTCCCTGGGAATCCCCGGGCCAGAATGCTATGGATTGACGACTTAAAAGAAGCGCCACCAGATGAAAACAATGAGGATAAACGCTAGACCTCCAATAGGGCCATACTGGTCATTGTCAGCTTGGGCGGTCATATCCACTGCGAAATCCTTGAGCTTACCTGCTTCAAAAGCAGCTCCCAGTTGATGCGCACGGCGGCCTTTTTGTACTTTCTACTGTCTTCACGCAGCCTACTCGATATATCTCCCATGCGCTCCAGACTGTCGCCTCGGTAGAGTAAGTCCTCGATATTCTTAGTCATGACCTTTGTGACATCCTTGAGCTCATCGTTGAGCTTGTCGAGGTTCTGCGTCGCTCTCGAGTCTTGGTACGTCTTCTTTGTGCGCTGGATGAATGTGTCAAACTCGACAAAGGCGTATGGCCGGCATGTTGGTGAGAGGTACTGTTGGGGCTGGTAGGTAGTCGTGAATTCGCGGGAGAGGTCAGAGAGGTATGTGAAGGCAAGTTTGCGCGGGTAGGAGCGATCGCAGATGCAAATGAAGCACAGCTCGCCCTCGATGAGGTAGCTGTGATGGGCGTCAGTGTGCACGACCTAGCATGGGACAATAGTGTCTTTTGCCCATACTGGTATGTGTAGCGGCCACTCTCTATGCTGGCCTGGGGTTCTGAGTTGCGGTTCAGGCGGCGCTGCACCAGCTTGACCTTGCTCTTGACCTCATTGAACTCGGCGTCCGTCTCTCCGTCGTCGACCGAAGCCGTCAAGAGAAGGCCTGTATGGGATATCTGTCAGCCTTGCCGTCCTAGAATCTCGCCGGTTGCACAGAGATGATAAGTGACGCACCGTCCAGCCGCGATATCATGGTGTGCTTGATCATGATGGCGTTGCAATGGATATGTGCAATTTGGGGTTTATCAGTCTGCAGCACTCGCCAGCGACAGCGTGTATCGTCAATCTCTGCCAGATTGCTATCGGGCGTACTCGACCCTC